TTTGCTCTATAATATATTAAATTTCTCGATTGATAATGTATAACATGCTATAGCTAGATCAAAAGAGAGTAATAGTATCATAAAGAATCAGCTATCATAATTCAAATTCTCTTCATTTAACGAGAAAATCAAATTGATTACAAGATGATATATCTCAAGAAAGATAAGTCAAAGAGAAAGAGTCTTGTTATAAGTTGCAAACAAAAAAAAAAAACTAATCATGATTATAAAAATCATCTATTGAGCAGAAGTCTAATTAGTAGATATGTATGAGTCCTATAATTCGGAAGATAAAGATTAAACAAATTATTTATATATTCAATTACACAACATACTATTAGAAATTATTTACCATAGATAATCAACATGATGAATCATATAAAATAGAAACTTTGGAAAAAAAATGTATTCGTTTACAATCAATTATTGATCGTATGGAGGTCTGTAACAGAGATATAATATTTTTTTTTGTTCAGATTTAAATCTACTTAATTTCAGTAGGATCTACTCATTGATCGTGGCCTTGAAGTTGTAGGTGAACTAAATGAACCTGATAATGTAAATATTTTAACTTTTGATGAAGCTGATCGTGTTGAACAACAACAAGAACATACACCAATATTATCTGCACCGGCTACTTGGCGACCAGGTTTTGTTTCATACTATGAATTAAATTTTCATAAAAATGACTTTTTTTTTCTATAGAAGAATCAATTCCAAAGATATTACCAATTGATTTTAATACTATTCTTGAAAATATTCGTGAACTTAATGTATTAGCAGGTGAAAATGAAGTGCATTTTGAACCACAAAATACTGATAATCAACGACGTATTTCAACATTAAAACGTACTGAATCAATCAATTTAATACTTTATGCAAATGGTATTTTCTTATTTAATGGACCTTTTCGATCATTTTCTGGTAGACCTATTATTTTTCTAGAATATCTCTTTTGTTTTTTTTTTAATACTCGATTTTTTATTCATAGAACCTTCAACTCAACAATTTATTCGTGATATACTTGATGGATATTTTCCATCGGAATTACAAAAACGTTTTCCTGATGGTGTACCTTTTAATGTATAAAAAATTTTCATTATTTTTGTTCAAGAAAAAAAAAAAAAGATGTAGTTTACATTTTTATAGGTGTCTGATAAACGTGATATTTATTTTACTGATGAACGTAAACAAAAAGCATTTCAAGGTGAAGGTTATGTTTTACATGATAGTCGTATAGTTCATAATAATCAAAACAATGATCATCTACCACCAATTCCACAAGGTGCAAGAACAGAATCCAATGATCAAAGTATATAAAATATTTATTAAATAAATCTAAAACAAAATTTATTGAAAATATATTTTAGGACCAAAAATTCCTTTGAATCAATTTATTAATCGTCTTCCGAAAAGTGTTATTAAGAATGGTCAAGTAATTGATATTCGTCAAGATATTGAACAACATTTAGTTGTAAGTAGAAATTAGAGTACAATGCATATTCATATCGTTATAAGAGGATATTAAATTTCAATCTTTTTTTTTTATATGTTCAAACATACACCATATTGATATTTGTTCTATGCAACAAGAAAAAGGATTTTGAGAATGATCCAGATATTCGATATGTTTGAATTTCTATTGATTTGTAGAATATAACATCTTGTAATATGAAACAAAAAGCTTAAACTGTTCTTGTTCTCACACTTCTATTTCTAACTAATTCTTAAGAAAAGTAATCGATCTAATTTATTTTCTTGCTGTAGAATGTATTTGACAAAAAAACTTTCAACAAACACTATAGAACTTTTCTATGATAGATATATGAAGACATATTCTATATAGACAAATCAAGATATTATAAGAAGATAAAATATTATTTACATACAGATAAAAAATAATGTCTAGTCGAATGTTTTTATTAGAGTTTTTTGAATATTCGTATTAGTCTTTCAAATAATAAATTATTGGATAATATCTGCTTTTGTAATAGTCAAACTATAAACATGAGAATATGGAGATAAACTGTTTTCGCAACACACTTATATTAATCTGATTCTACAAAAATCTCATTGAAGCATTACATATTTGTTGCCTACTAGCTTTCATTAAATTTTTTTATCAATCATTGTTAAACTATTTCTAATTCTAAATTATGTAAAACTTGAAAATTGTTCTCTGCATACTTTTTTCTTTTATGTTCTTCACACTCTCATTCTTCATGAAGTAAAATTTGATTATGAAATAATTCATCAATAGTTCGAAATACGATCTTCATTGTTTTTGTTTTTCGTTCTGCAGATTACCTTGTCATATAGTCTTTCTATTTTAATCAGGTTACTTAGTACATAATTTGACTAAAGACGTAACTACTAAATCATCATGAGTGCTGAGTAAACGAATAAAATTAATAATTATTAAATTTTACTTCGTTATATTTGATATAGAATTGTTCAGTAATTTAGACTCATAAAGAAAAAAAAACGTTCTATTAGGATTTATTTTTTATTTGCATATGAATTAATTTTATTGTTCTTTAAGATTGATGAAATATTTTGTATGTTCAAAAATAATAAATAAAAAAAATTTTATCTACAACTTTTTAACAGAATTTCTATACAAAGATGATTATTTTGAAGTCAAATATATAATAAATTATATTTTACTTTTGAAAGGGTAAACAAGAATCAACATCACGATGTGAAAGGTATTTTTTATTTTGTTTATACTTTGAAATTTATCATTTGATTTATTTAAGTGTCATAAGTGAATGTAAAACTGATATTGATAATAATAAACCATTCAGTACACTTCGTATACGTTCTCATGATGGTCAACAAACATATGTAATAAAAATGAAAACAACATGTACAATAAAAGATGTTAAACAAATTATTACAAAGAAAAAGTAATTGATGATTTTCTTATGTTCAAAAAAAATAAATAAAAATAAAAATAATATTTTTTTTACTTTTTTATATTTCTTAGAAAACTATTATTTGATTTTGATTTATTTGCTATGGGTACAAAATTATTTTTTACAGATGAAAATCAAACACTTGAACAATGTAGATTAGTACCAAATGCAACATTAGGTATTCGAGAAATAAAACGTAATATTGTTAAAAAATAATACTTTTGTTTTTTTTAATGAAAATAAATAAATCAAATTATTCATTTGTATTGTCTTTTTCTTTGTCATCATCATAATCCTTTGTTCTTCTTAATTGATATCGACGTTTTTTATATAGTTTATCATTTATTTCTTCTTGTTGAAATAATTCAATTGATTCTATTTGTTCTTTGGCATTTTTTGAATTTTCTTTTGAATCTTTTTCATTTTGTTTACTATGTTGATCTATTTCTTTGTTCGATAATTCATCTATATGAGTTTTACCAGAAATTTTCTGTTTGACACATGTACATAGATGACGAGGTGTAACACATCGTACCAATGAAGGATATTCATTAGATATTTCACATAAGTTTTGATTTTTTCTAATTGATGATAATATTTGTTTGCTGGCCATTTAATTGTAGTAATTTGAGGTGATTAAAAAGGAAAAATCACCGAATTTATGTACATTTATGTTTTTGCGATATCTTTTTTTTGACTCGTTTCGCTTGAATAGTTTTTTGTTTGATGTTAATATCGGCATGTAGGTAGAAAGAGATATATATAAAAAACACGTGTGTGGGGATAAAGAATGGATGAATAAAATAAGAAATATCTACAAGTAAGTTGTTCATATCTGATACAAGTGTGAGTATACACAGGTGTGTTAAATAATATACTATGCACTAATATTATATTTTTTTGGTAATATTTATCGTAAATTATTGTCTATCTCAATGTTTTCTGTAATGAAAAAAAAATAACTTCGGTATGTGTTTTGATTGCCTTGATAGTATGGTCAAAAAATAATTACTAAATTCACATTGATATATATGAATATAGCCAAAGCTAACCTATTAATCATATATTATCATTTTATTGTTGTTTTCATCAAAATGAATCTTATCTTCTATTATAAAATTATCTAGTAGCAAGAAATAATTAAAATAGTCTTTGACTATTGTGAAATATCATTCTATAGCGTTGAGTTGTTCTATGAGCAAGATGTTTAGTCATATATATGCATTTTTATCTTTTTTTTCAACGACATTCTATTGAGATGTCAGCAGACATTTGATGTTTGACAATAATGTTATATGGGACTCTTGTTTTTTTCAAATATCGAGTTAGTATCGAAGTGTGATGACAATTAAAATCGTCGACAACATCTTATTAATAGCGCAGCATAAATATATATAAATAGCACCTGTTTCTTGCACACAGTAAGATCTTTTACATTGCCGCCGAAAACAGAAAAGGAAAGGAAGAAAAAAAAATCAGTGCTGATGTTTTTGTTGTTTTTCTTTATTGCAAAAAAAAAAACTAAAGAAAAGAAACGAAACGAGATTACCAACAAGTATTTTTTTTTTGGTCGATGTAGAAAAAAACAGTCAACGTATATCGGTATGAATGGTCATACTATTCTTCATATAAGCTTTTTAGACTAATGATTAACTATACAGTTCTATACAATAATATTTTCTTTCTCAGCTCTAATACACCCACCTACAGTTCCTATTTCCTACCACAACAGAGACTCATCTCTTATTGCTGATAAGAAAAATCTTTCATCAGCTTGACAAATTGATTTTATAGGTTTAACCTTTACTTGTATCACAATGAATAAATCATTGTCATATTGAAAAAATTTGGAAAAAAAAAATAAAAAGACAAGTATTGTTTATTTAAATATCTGACATTTGTTCTATCTTTCAATTGTTGCATTTTCTATGCAAACGTTATCTTTTTTCTTTTTTCTTTCTATTTACGTCTATTACATTCTTCGTTGACATACCTAAGTGATGAATCATTGGTTTTTATTTCAGATTTATTCTGTACCATCATCTAATAGTTTGGCTTACTATTTATTTGATTTGTATTACGATGGCTCAAATAAATAGTACATCCAATGTTGTGAATTCTAACGATAATACTAATCCTTCTACGAAACCATCTGATACACTTCGTCCTCATTATTATACAACATTTCAAAATTATTGTTGTGGTCCAAAATCAAATTCATCAACTTCAACACCACCTAAAGATGTTTTACCTATTCCACAAATATTTAAAGAAGAAGCTGCTGAACTAGTGGAATATATTAATCATGCTCTTATTGAACAACTTACAGATGTTGTAAAATATACAAGTGTTATACCACATACATTTCTTGAAAAAAATGATAATTATGATATTCAACGATATTTAATTGATCGAATAATGTTCAGAACGATGAATGATGCTCATGTAATCAATTGGATTCCTTCATTGAAAATGCTCTATCCAATTCGAACATCAGGTAAAAGAAATTTTTTTTTGAAATTTCTTTGAATATGTATATTTCTTTTCTCATAGGTAATGGTAATTGTCTTCTACATGCTGTACTTATTGCTATGGTTGGCATACATGATTTGGATCTTTACTTTCGTGATCGACTTGTACAATTTATGACTGAAAATAAAGACGTATTGAAAAATTATTGGAAAAAAGAACGACTTAAATCCGATAAAGCCTATGGTATAAGCTCAGAAGATTCGAAGCTCGATGAGGTAAGATTAAAAAAGAAAACATATAAATACATATTACACAGCTTTCTTTAGGAATGGAATGAAGTATGTGATCTTGTTCGTTATGAAAATTCTAAAGATGGACAAATAGCAACTCAATTAGAGTTTCTTGAAGCTATACATATATTTTCTATTTCAAATATGCTTCATCGACCGATTATTGTTTTATCTGAAGATGTTATTCGAAATAAAAATGGTGAAGCTATTTCAGTTAATGATCTCTTCGGAATTTATTTACCTATTCTTTCAACACCAGATGAATGTATTATTGAACCTATTGTATTAGCTTATGATCGATCTCATTTTTGTCCATTACAAACTACTAATGCTAATGTTGGAAAAGCATTGGATAATCGTCTTCCACTTTATCTATCAATTGAACATGCATATAATAATATTTCATTACCTATTCGATTTCTAGGTGATGATGATAATATTGAATATTCGAATAATTTACTTCGTGATTATTTACGAATTCAAAAAGTAGAATATAGTGTTGATGAAAAGTCTTCACCATTATCTATTTTATGTGTAACATTGGGTGGTAAACATTTCCCATTAAAAGACAATTTTTTTCATATATATCAGAAATATGTGATCGATTTCTTTCAAGTACAAAAACCGAAAGCAATAGCAGAAGAACGAGAACGTGAGAGACAGCGTGAACTAGATGATTATGTGAATCGTCATATATCTTATGATACTAGAGGTCGATCAATAATTAAACAAGACCCAACCCTATCTTCATCATCTACACTGATGTCGGCACGATCGAATACTACTCTTAATGAGAGTCAATTGCGCAATCAAAATAATAATTATGATGATCAAATATACTCATACAATGGTACATACACTAATCAACCATATATACCATCTAATGGTGCTGTTTATATTAAAAATTCTTCAAATCAACCTCAACAATCACCAAGAGTATTCGAACATAGAAAAGTAGCACAAACAGATCGAGATATCAATTATCCTGATACGGAACAATCCAAACAATTAAATTTAAAAAATGATTTGAATAATATTAGCAATTTAAACAATAATGATAAACAGCGCAATCCTGTTAGTTTCAAGACAGGAGAGGATGAATACAAATTTAATCGAGGTAATTTTTAGCCAAGATAGTCTTCTTTAGATAAATGCATTTAATTTCTCTTCTCAGTCGTAGTTTCAAAGCCTGTTTATGAAATTCATTCGGAGTTCTGTATCTTTGAATAATTTTCATATGTTTACGATCTAGAAGTGTCGGTAATTATAATAGAAACTAAAGAGCCACTTATCGATTTTCTCTTCTATATACTCTCATTGATCTATACTCTTTCTCTTTTTCCTATATGCAAACTTTATTCAAATTATTTCTATTTCTACTCAATGTTTGGCCTCATTACAAAAACTACTCTTGGACACCCACACGTATAAATATTTTCCTTTTTAATAAATCAACAGTTGTATATTACCAGTCTTCAAAAACAAAAAAAAACGAGGTATTTCTTATATATTTGTGATGGTTTTTATCTTTCTTTGACTTGTTGTCTTATAAAACTATTTAAAAAAAAACCGAGAAAGTGAAGTTTTCTGATTTAAGTACTTACAAGAAAATTAATTTTCTGTTTCGATTCAATTGTTATTTTAGAACAACGACAACCTAAAGTTATTGAAATTCCTGTTCAATATGCAACACCTCGTGTATCATCGAACGATTCGACTTTATTCATTTCTGAAGAACCAAGAGATTCACTTGACAAATGCCTCACTTGTCATCGCCCGTTTAGAGATGTGAAATCTATACGTATCTGTTCCGATTGCGATTCTGAATTGCAGCGTCGTACTCCGCATTATGATGTTCGTGATCGATCGTATATTCGACCCCGATCTACAAATGTATATTTAACAGGAGATAATACTCGTTATGTTCCTGCTTCATCACCAGTACCGAAAACGAAAATTCGCCGTTCAGTTGAATGTCCACATTGTAAACATCCAAATTTGAATTATGGATTGATTGATTCAATGTTTTTCTGTTCTGCGTGCAGAAATGTAATACCCTCTTCATATTTATATTATTAATTCAGTTTGTTTCAGAGAAAAATAAATCATGCTCTGATTGTCTTGGGCTCTCGTTTTTGTGATAACGGCATGTGCCTATGTTTGTCTCTTCTGTATATATTTTGTGAAACTATCGTATTTGATGCATCCAGCGATAAACGAGAGAAATATATACGATTGTTTTATTTTTCTTAATTTTTTTAATCTCTAGTTTCTTTTTGTTGGCGATGATGCTATTCTCTTTGTTTTTTTTTATATTTGATTTAATCGATGACATACTAAAAATACCGATTAAAAAGACGAACGATTGTAAGTTCGCAAATCGATCGCAGAACTATTTCTACTGGGATTCTTGCTTTCTATAGCTCATGAAAGATCGTGTTACGACAAATATTCTTTGTGATGAAACATTCATTTTTTAACGAATAAATAAAATATTCGAACAAGATCAACATTCAATGTCTTCGGATTTACATTCCTTTCGTGATTAACCAGGTATAGTACTTGTTATTCATATAAGTTGTTTTGTAGTTAATTTTTCCGAGTTAATAACCGAAATACAACGTTGACAATGAATCTCAAGAAGCGATATGCACACTATTACAGCCTCTTACCATAAAGTCTAGTTCAATAATTTCTTGTTTAAAAATCATAAACTAGTAGCCAAAAGTACCGCTATCAGATGACAACTATTTACACCTTAATCATTTGGGTTCCTACTTGTAGCATCAATAGAATTCAGTGAACCCTGATCTCGATTGGTTGACGTTTACTGGAGTGATTATCTGAACAGTATCGTTACCTCTCGAAGAGCGTATCTTAACGATTTTTCGACGTTCGATTTCGTATAATCCTTCACGCGCAAGTCCAACACTTGAATTATCTGCGACAAAAATTTTATAAAAAGTTAGTTTAAACTAATGAAGATATAATCTTTGCAATGAAAATGCGGAGCAAACAGTTAATCTTAGTCTTGAATCTGATCTTAATAACTCGGCATAACCTTGGTGGATTCTTTTGAAAATTTCAGTGATGACTTCTTATTGGTTTAGTAGTTGATGATAAAATTTTAGAATCACAGTTCAAAGAAGAGCAGAAATATGGTTATCAGAAGAGCTCATTATGTCACAGATTGCCAATCATTGAAATCTCGATATTATAAGTTGGACTTTTGACTCAGCAAACTAGAGATGGGGAGCTGTAGTTAGCACTAGAAACAATGTAAATAACCTATAATATCATACTACGACAAGTAACAATTTCTGTCACTGCATATCTGTTCAACAATGTTCTATTTATTGAGGGAACTGTGAATAGTTGTAAGTGAAGAAGAGGCATCATGCAATGATGGTTTCACATCAAGCATCGATTTCTTCAGCTTATAGAATTTTCATGTTAGAGGGTTAGACGCATGGATACTAGGACTGAACTGCTCGAACTTAAAAAAACGTGTTTCCTCAATGCTAAATCTCCATTGATGAGTGTACGACAGTTTTTTATGCATACGAGTACTGCTGATAGTTCCTTTAATGAACTGAACACAATCGAGCAAAGATACAACGTTGGAAAATTTTCACTTGTCATTGTACAATATTATAGGTTATTTACGATTTTTTAGTGCTGACTAGAGTTTCTTATCTCTAGTTTACTGAGGCAAAAGTCTAACTTATAATATTGAGATTTCAATGATTGACAATCTGTGACATAATGAGCTCTTCTGATAACCCTATCTCTGCTTTTTTTTTGAGCTATGGTTCTCAAAATTTCATCATCAACTACTAAACTAATAAGAAGTCATCACTAGAATTTTCAAGTGAATCTATCAAGGTTAAGTCGAGTTATTAACATCAGATTCAACACTAAGACTAACCACTTGTCCCACATTTTCATTACGAAGATCATATCTTCATTAGTTAAAAGTAAGTTTTTATAAAATTTTTATCGTAGATAATTCAAGTGTTGGGACTTTCGAATGAGGGATCGGGCAAAATCGTATGTCGAAAAATTGTTAAGAAACGCTCTTCAAAAGGTGATGATACTGTTGAGATAATAACTCCAGTAAACATCAACTAATCGAGATCAGAGTTCAGCGAGTTGTATGGATGCTAAACATATGAATTTAAATGATTAAAGTTTAAATAGTTTTCATCTGCTAGCCGTACTTTTGGCCACCAGTTTATGTAATTTACACACACAATATTGATACATATTCATGCATTATTTGCTTTTACTTTTTCGTCTTTCTTTACAGTTTATATGCAGTAACACAAATGAAGCAATCCTCAAGAGAACTTCTCCGTCCAGCATTTTCTGCCTTGTTCTCTCCATTGTAGATAAACTGTAAAAAAAGCAAAAAATAATGCCTGTGTATGCGTCAAAATTGTGTGTGTAAGTTTTACATATAATCTGATGAAAACATAGTCATTGATAAAATGTCACTAAATTTAAAAATAAATTGAATAAAAAACATCAATTTAATTAAAACTAATCGATAGGGAAATCATGAATTACTTATTGAAAAAAAAACTATGATGTTTGTAAACATATTGATCGAGCAATGAATCAAGTTTTTTTGTATGGGAAGAAATGTGAGGCAATTACATTAATCATTGGTGGAAAAAATGTATAGACAACAGGTTTATGATATTTTTCATCATGACACATGTTACATATGTCATTTGATGTCTTGCAAAAGTCAATGTAGTCATATGAGGATTTTTCCAGTTGTCAGCAAATGATAGAATTGCATGGGTTTTGCATACTTACTTCAATATAACATCTCTGAATATAGTACGTATCAATAATGTTTCTATTTCAAAAAAATACACTTTGTTAGAAGTTTCTAGAATTCTAGACATATCTTCATAGATCTTCTTTATTGCTTTAAATTGCTGCTTAGTGTTGCTGTATATGCCTTTGAAAGCAACGAGATTCGAGAAATTTTAGTACTTTCCTGTTTTTTTAGAAGTCTGATCATGCTTCGCATTTGCATGATATTGTTGCATCATAAAGAACAAATTGTACTTTTGATTATAACAATATGAGACTTTTAAAACTGTTGATAATATAAAATTTTAGTTCATTAGAGTTTTTAATCACTCAGTGAATAGGGTTAATACGAATGAAAGAAGAGTGAGTACTGATAAAAACATTTTTATTTTAGGCGTTGTGTGAATGTCTATTCCAAAAAAAATACCTCTACTAACAATCTTTTTATTTGTATCTATACCTTTTTGTATTTTGTGTAATGTTTTTCATCCAATTTTTGTCTCTGATACTATTTAGTCATAGTCACTTCAGCTAGTAAGCATAATATGAACATATTTATTTTTAATTATGGGATGATCCATGCTTGTTTCGTAGAGTTAGCTATAAATAGCATACAATAAAAAAGTTAAGAATAATGTGACATCTTATTAAATCGTATTGTAGAGTTCTAGATTGGTAATGCTTGTTTTTTTCTGTAGCAAATAATTTTCTCTAAAGCAAAGTTGTCTAGTCTTCGACCGTATGCATCGTTTTATGATGGTGAAAAATGTCTTTCTAGATAATATCTTGTTTGAATTGAATGATGAATAAAAACCAATACGAGTACATCGATGAGGAGTCTATCGATCCCGAACTAATATGTATCATATGTTGTAAACCATTTGATGATCCGAAATTCGTTTCATGTTGTAAGCACACATTTTGTCATCAGTGTATTACTCGATGGATTACAGATCATCAGACATCATGTCCAACATGCCGTCATGTCCTACACATGGACAACATTACAGACACTCCGATGTCATTGCTTACTATGATCAATCAGCTTCGTGTCAAGTGCATACTTTGTGAAGAGATAAATCTACAGCGGGGAGATTTTGATTTTCATATCAATAATCAATGTTTGAAGGTTCCTGTGATCTGTTCGGCAGCAGATATCAAGTGTCCGTGGAATGGGGAGCGTGGCCAAGTTGGCAATCATCTATCTACATGTACTTTTGAACAACTGAGACCCATACTGCAAGGACTAATGAATGAGAATCAAGCACTTCAAGAACAATGTCAACGACAAAAATTCCAAATAATTGAATTGAAGATCGAAAACCAACATCACAAGTTCATAGGTAATCAAAATGCAGCTGACTTATCAGATCGATTGATAGGTGAGCGGACATCTACAGGTTTTGTTCCAAAAAAATCCATACATTTAACAACTCTAGATTTAATGAATGCTCATGTATGAAAGATGTACATATTGAATTATGATATGTAGTTTGTGTTTTTTTCAAGTTTTTCATGCATACTGATTAAAATGAGAATTGAGTGTAATTATCACAAAGGTATAAGTAAGGTCTGAGAAAGCACTAGGAGTGGAAGAGTGCAGCAAAAAGTATTTTGGAGACTCGCGACTGAAACTTAGTGGTAGCTAATGATAATTGAAATTTTTTTTTTGGGGAGGGGAGTGGGATGAGAACAAACGAAAGCTTTAAGCAAACTTCAAGCTAAAGTCTCGAAGTTTTTTTCTCCGGTAAGCAAAAATAGTTACAATTTTCAAGCATTAACGAGTGGTTCCCTTCGCAGTATTTGCACGCATGACTGCTCGTTGGGATTTCTGAATGAATTTTGTAATATAGTATGGTTTGAAACATGTGTTAGGCAATGGTTAATCCTAATCTGTTGTCAATGCACAGCATAATTTTAATGTCGGATACTATTTTATCTTTGTATTAGTTTGAATTCATTGAGACATTGAACTTTTGAACTAGATATACGAGTTATCGGTAAGATCAAACAGACGAAAGACTCTGTGAAAGTAATAAATTATTTTTTGAAGTGAAACTTCAATGACTCAGTGGATTTTATTTGAACTAGAACATGAGCATAAAGACCTGTCAACGATAGTTTTCTGGTTCAGTTCCTGCTGTTTTGTTGACTCGTTAATGTGATATAAAGTATTGAACAAGATACTAAACTTTTGACTCATATATTGGAAAATCAGAAGATATGAAAGATATCAGCAGAGATGGGAAACATCAATTTCTTAAAAGAAAACCGTGCTTCTTTGAGAGAATAATCATTTTTTTTCACATTAGATTTCAATTTTTTTAAACACTGCATAAAGTCAAACACCGCTTCAGCGACATCAATAGCTAAGCCATCTGAGAATATCTTATTTTCACAATGAATTTTTCTTTTATTGTAGTGTCACCGCTACGTACTACAAACATTCTCATCAATGCTAGATGGGCTCAAAACGGTATCACGGTGGCTGGTGGAAATGGAGGAGGTAATGAACTCAATCAGCTCTTGGGTTCAGAAGGTTTGTACATTGCTAATGATCAGACTGCTTATATTGCTGACTACAATAATCATCGTATTATGGAATGGAAGTATGGTGCGACTAATGGAAAGGTGATTGCTGGTGGAAATGGTCAAGGAAGTCGCGCCGACCAAATGAGTTCACCATCCGATGTGATTATCGATAAAGCAAGCGATAGTCTCATCATTTGTGACAAAACGAACCGACGAGTGGTACGATGGCCACGTCAAGGTGGTCTCAGTGGAGAAACAATTATATCAAATATCGATTGTTGGGGTGTGACGATGGACCATGATGGATCTCTGTATGTCTGTGACCACCATAAGTGTGAAGTAAGACGGTGGCGAATTGGAGAGACTCATGGGACAGTGGTTGCAGGTGGTAATGGACGAGGCGAACATCTCGATCAGTTGAATTCTCCACTTTATGTATTCGTGGATTATTATCGCACAGTATATGTATCAGATAGTGAAAATCATCGTGTGATGAAATGGTTGGAGGGCGCAAGGGAGGGGATTGTTGTGGCTGGTGGAAGAGGCCGTGGTAATGATTTAACACAATTATCAGATGCTCGAGGAGTTATCGTAGATCAATGGGATACTGTGTATGTAGCAGACTGTGACAATCATCGAATCATGTGTTGGCCCAAAGGAGCCACACATGGAAATATACTTGTCTGTGGCAACGGGGAAGGAGAACAAGCAAATCAGGTCATTATTCCTGCAGGTTTATCATTTGATCGATACGGCAATCTCTATGTAGTTGATTGGGGCAATCATCGAGTACAAAGATTCGACATCGATCCAAATTCGTAATTGTTGAGATTCCATGCTGGCAAAATATTATTGCTCTTCATTCTTTACTACACCAAAGACTCGAGAGTGACTACCGGCTACATCGTGTAAACGGATATATACTTTTGTTCCTATTTTTCACTAGATCGTGCTGATATTCATTGCTAATAATCAACGTATTTCAAATATTTTGTTCTATGAAACCTTGCACTTCGCTTTTAGTTCACGTATTGAAAAAATATTAACGGTCTTTGTTGCTGTTAATGATTCAAAATAATCTGTCTTTCACCATCAGCTCATATTTGAACATTGTATTTAGAAGATATGAATGGAAGATATAGAATACTGATCAAATAATTCTGACGAACGTGTTTTAGCATCCTTCAATCAATGCATGATCAAATAGATGCAAAAAGGATCTAGAATACAGGTTGATGCAAAAGCCACTCTACCGAAGAAAAACTTGAATACTTTCGCCATAACTGGACCAAATGGACTGGTCTTTTAACTGATGTATAATCCAATATCGAATTAGAGCCAATGTCAAATGCGAAAAAATTATCGACGAATCTCATCAACTAATATTGAAATATTGATTCGAACTGGTCATCAAAAAAAGCTGTCTTTATCAACACCCATATTCATCTCCACGATAGCTTAAACCGCTGCTCGTCAGTATTACGTATGGAGCTTACGAATAACAAATGATTTAATCAATTTTCTATGCGTTTTCCCGCGTTTTCAATTTAATTGATTTCGTTTTGAGGATCTGAGATCAAGTAGATGGAGAAAGTTCTCGACGATTTTTTGGTCTTACTCATAGGTCTCATTAGTGATTACAATGCTAATATTGAGCTTTGATTATCGATGATTTTCATCGGCGGAGTGCGAGAAAGATTAAAGAGCAATCTCAAATCAGATTTCAATGTAGCTTCAATCACTCTTATTATGTTGCAAAATCATTTCATATAAAGGAGAGACTACAATGATGTAGCGACTCGGTTCATCATTGTATTTTGTTATCTCAGACGTCGTGTTCCATAGGATGAAATAGAGCACGGCGAGAGTGACATTCTGATGGTGAAACGATTTCGTTACGACTATAAATAACTGACTTTAAACCAATCATGCCGGCGCTTTGAAAGTTGTGTTCCTTTTTTTATCAATATATTTTTCGAATGATTTTCCAAATCAATTAATATTTGCTGTCTTGAAGAGATCGATTGCTACTGAAATATCTCTATACATCGTGATATGATTGCATAGACTCAATTGTTATTGATAATTCTATACCTGACAAAACATCAGTATTTACTGATGAACAAACTTGTTTTATAATCAAAGAGCATAACATTTATTCTGCTAACGTTGTCTTTATTGACAACGTTAGGTATGGTAAAGAATCAGTACACATGTGTATGTAAACAGATGGTAATTCACAGTATTTCTCATGAAAATGAACCAGTCACAATTAATATCCTTGGTCCATACGATGAAATATTGCTTGCATTTAGAGCGAACTCAATCATATTGATATATTATATTTACTCATCAATGCCAACCAAAACCAAAATCCATTGTCTGAAGATATTACCTTTACACAAATTGTTGATTTAGTACTACGGTCATCAGTTGAAGATAATGACTCAAGATTTAATTCAATACTTGATTGATTTTTCTGTGATATACTGTCGTATATCTATGGATCGTGTTTGTCTCAAAGGAAACTGTCCTAAACTTCATAAACTTACACTTATTTTCCTGTAATTTGAAATAGCATCTTCTGATTTCAATGAAATATTATATGTCCTCTCAGTTTTCAAGTATTGGAGCTAAATCGATTCGTTTATTTGTTATATAACTTTAGACAACAATCAATTGAGTATGTAAAGCTTTGAAATGGAATAGTTTCCTCAAAAAAGCAAAAAAATATTATCAATATTTTAAAAAATATCAAACATTCAGAAATCATACAGAAAAATGATACCACCATGAACATATGACATCAATCCACAGTCTTATTTCGTTCAATTTTTCTTAAAGCAATCTTTGAGGTATGATGATTTCTGATGAAAAATGTCAACGCCTGACATCAATCATTACTGTTTTATAACTGGTTCTATCGATCAGCAAATGTGTTCGTGAACAGGAAAGAAAGAAAAAAAAACCTATCCTTAATTCATCATTTGAATCCTGGTGTACGTATTGCAAACAACATATCTCTGTAATGTACTATTCTATTATATATACTAGGGTTTCTATAAAGCAGATATGGTTAAATATAGTTGACGATTCATGGGAATCTTTATCACCTGTTGATATTCTTCAAAATATTATTAGAATAAAACCAGTATTTGTGAAATACAACAGACGACATTTATTCGACAAACACGGTCATGTTAACAAGTATCATCTTCTTTGTTTTTTCATTACCATTTATTGTCTTCGGATGTGGTATTACAACACATATCGAAGTCTCACATCGTGCACAAGATCTTTGGTTACATCAACCTATCTATCGAAATTATATTCTTCAACATCAAGATGCATTACAAGGTGGATCACCATATCCTGATGTTATGTATGATAGTGTATGTTATCATGGTACTTTACATCAAGTTGCTGAAGATACACATTGGTAATTAAAAAAAAAATCATAAGATTTAATTCTTTTTTTTTTCTTATATTCTAAATAATTTCTTTAGGTATCCATTTATGAAAATTGCTATTGAATATATGCGTGATCGATATCCACCACCTTTACAAGTAGATAATATTCAAGGACAAAAATTCCTTGCATTTCTTCTTGGTATAGCATCTCATCAAATAGCTGATGCTGTATGGCATGGTAGTTTAACGGGTTGTCCAAATGGATTTATTGATGCAACAGCTTGGGAAAGTTACAATGGAGATAAAGACATGGCACATTCAAGTGTTGATCCTGGTGGTGATAGTGTTATTGATTATGAATTACCAATTGCTTATATCGGTAAAATTTTGTTTTTTTTTGTTTTTGTTTTGTTTGTTATTTTATTTATTCTATAGGTTTAACTAATAAATGGTATGTGCCAAGTATTGAACTACAAGAAATTTATGACAGATATGCTATTGAATATGATTCACCATTAGAAACAAATGCAACAGCTGAACGTGTTCAAATATGTTCGGATTTAATGTTTGTTGGACGATTTGCTGATGCTTTATTTCTTGGTATTGAATATCCAAAATATTCTCATAATGATACATTTTTACTTGATCGTCTCTATGAATATTATCATGGAGGTTTATTAAATATGGCTCATCAAACAGTTCGATATTGGGATCAAATTATAGCTATGTATGAAAAAGGTACTGATATATGTCAAATACCAAGTAATAATCCATATTATTTAAATTGTTCAATATCTTATTCAACTATATATAAACAACAACAGCAATCAATAACATATATTCGTTCAAAACCATCAAATTATCTTCCATTTTCGAGTCAGTCTTCTTCATCATTACCAACATTACAATATGATGAAATTCATGCAGGTGTTATATCAAATCAAAGTTATGCATCATTCGGTCATACAACACTTTTTGGTGATTTTAATAATGATGATTTAATTGATTTAGTTATATCTGCACCTGATTATTATAATCTTGGTTGTTCACAAGGTGGTCGTGTTTTTATTATTTATGGAAAAAAAGATCAACCTCTTATTCCTGAACGTAATATCAGTATTATTGAACAAATAGCTGATCAAACATTAATATCACCTGATTGTGATGGTGATCGATTTGGTACTAGCTTAGCTACTCTTGATTGGAATAATGATAGTTTTAATGATCTTGTTATTAGTAGTCCATCACATGGTTATGGTTATCGTGGTGCTATATTTATTTTTGCTGGTAGTAAAGATGGTCTTGAAATAAAACCATTTATACGTATTGATGGTGTTAATGAACATGATACTATTGGATTTGAATTACATACAGGACATCTTGATAATGATAAATTATTAGATTTAATTATTACAAGTCCTTATGCTCAACCACATGGTTATGATCAACCACAACAAGGAGCTGTTTGGATTTTTCTTAGTTCAGATTTTATAAATAAAAAAAAACAAATATCTGATCGACAATTAACAATTAATAATGCATCATTTACCATTTATGGTGAATATCCAAAATCAAAATTTGGTTATTCACTTCAAATAATTCCTTCATCATGTATTAGTCATATAACATCATCTCCAGTTCTTTTAATTAGTGCACCAGCTAATCAAGGAAAATTATATTTTTATGCTATTGAAACTCAACCACGTCTTATATTAACATTGACAAGTGTAGAAAATCATGCACATTTTGGACAAAGTTTTTCTATTCGAAACGACAAATGTTGGTTAGCAGTTGGTTCACCAACACAATCAAATGATTGGTATGGTTCTGTAGATATTATTTCATTGATAAGTCTCTTCAATCAACAAAAACTTCATCTTAATTTAAATGATAATTCAGTCCTTATTTCTATTCATGGTGATCGAATATTTGAACGTCTAGGTACTAATATTCAATGGACACCTGAAGGTGATTTAGTTATTTCAGCTCCATTAGGAAAAGGAAAACTATTACCATTACAATTAGAAAAATCTGAAGGTTTTGTTTATATTGTACCTGCTAATCGAATTCCAACTCGACCTGATCCAAAAATTCACTATATTAAGGACATGAGTTCGACTATATATGTTGCTCATGATCGTCTTAATCGATTTGGTACTCATATGAATGTTCTTTCTTCAAAATCTATTTCTTATTTAGTTATTTCATCACCTTTTACTGCTTTATATGATGATGTGCGTCTTCCTGGAATGTTATATTTTCAACAATTAAAACAATAAATTTTTTCTATTTTATTTTCAAAATCTTCATATACAAAAAAAAAAGACTCTTTTCAAATTAAGCACCAATTGTAAATTTATTTCTACACATAGCACTGATAGACGATTTTCACAATAATTTTTCTAGTATTAAACAACTCGTTTTCTTTTTGAAATATTGAATGTAAAATAATTGTCAATAATGATGCAGACAGAAAAAATTTAATTCACTGGATGTCGAGTGAACAAATAAGAATGAAATTGGAGGAAGTCCAATGTTTTTATTATTAATTCAATATGAAGCAAAACAAAATTCTATTTGGATATCCAGCAACAATCAGCTGAGCATGTTTAATTAGAAATTTACACAGAAATGAATCATATTGGAGATATAGAAGAAATTATCGTCATTCGATTTTTCTAAACTAGTCATAATAAAATCAATTTATAAATCTAACGAAGTTATTAAAACATTGACATATATAAAGAGAAGTTGAAAGTTTGTTATAGAATTAAAGAAAAGATCTTTTCTATGCGATAGAACGTTTCCATTCGATTGTTTCCGCTTTTGAAAAAAGTACTAAATTCGTCCAAAAATACTTACTAATAAATTCAATCTCATACATTAAAAATGAATTATCGATTCGATCTTAATAAATATGTGTAATATATACTGTCAAAATATAGTCATGCACTATTGATATAATAGATGTAGAGTGTTGGGTCATGAATTATAAATTAGCAAGAAAATATAAATCAATACCCTATCAATAAACTTCTGAAACTAGTTATTAGTGATTGATCTACTTGAAAAAGCCTTATTACTCAAACGACCTCTAATCGGTACATAGAATGCCATAATCAAGATGATCAAGTTTTTAATCAAAAATTATTTGAAAAATAACTTCAAACAAATTTATTTTTATGTGATTAAGCATGATTACTAATTCAAATACTTGTTGAAACAAAAACTTGATTTATTGTTTCCTGTGGAATTTTATCGGCTAAAATCAGTACTTTTTCTATGCTCTAAGTAAATAATTGATAACCTCTATTTGGTAGTGCCATCAATAAATATATCTCAATTTCTTTTATTTCAATATATCGAAATATTCCTAACTCTATCAAATATTTACTAAAATATTCACTAGAACCTATCAGGTCCAATATTTTCAGGCGCAAAATCCGTCGAGCTTATTAAAGGTATATTTTATTCTTAAATGGTATACGCATTACAAACACCAAAATAAAAATATACACAAAAAAAAAGACGCAAATTATTATATTTTATATAATAGTGAAAAACAAATAAGCGTATTGCAAATATTTATTTTGTCATGAATCGTGCATTCATTGTAATCAATGTAAATAAAATGTCCGTATCAATTAAATAGCGTTTATCTTCTGGTAAAAGACTGCATAATGCTTGTGTATCTCCGTCATTTTTCTAAAACAAAAAAAAAAAAGAATAGAAGAAAAAATTTTTTCATATAAAAAATATGTTTGAGAATTTATATACTTTAAGTGCTTCACGAACAATTTCTAATGTTTCATCACCAAGAACTTCACGTAATTGTTTTTCTTTTTCTTGATCAAGTTTAACACGATGTTCAAGATTATCTTCATCTTCTGGATTACACCAAACATCATCATCATCATTATCAATATCATCATCATTTTGTGTTGTTAATTCTTTTGATTTATCTTTTTTTATCACAGATTCACTTGCTGAATGTTTTATTTTATTTTCATTTTCATTCTCATCATCATATAATTGACTTTGATAAGCTATTGCTAAAGGTTGCATTTCATCTTCCTCGTCATCATCATCATCAGATTCCGACTTTTCCTCATTTGTGCTTGAATCACTAGTACTCTTAGTAGTAGTTGGCTTCTTCGTAGCACTGGAAAATGATGGTTCTTGAGATGATTGAATAATATCAGTTAAACTTTGATTTAATTTTTTTGATAGATCCAATGTTTCTTCAGGTAATTCATCGATTTTATGTAATTCAGGATTTGAAACTGTACGAAGAAGCTAAACAAAGATGTAACAAGCATAAGAATACAATACTTCAAGAAGACTGTATTTTTCTTAGGAAATATCGATACCCTTTCAAGTGAATGACAATAGGCAAATCATTAGAAAATATTTCTTATTATATAAGATAAAAAGTATACGAAAACTAAAATATATACCCAATTAACTAAAATATTAGTTGTTCAAGCTATTAATCATTTTCATTGATTGTATAAATAAGATAGCGATGTTCAACTAGCAGCTCTAAATATCAAAGAAGGAATCTTCCGAATTACATAGTGAACAAATTACAATAACGTATTATAGCAGTAGTAGATTTCGATGAGGTTTAAAATTTTATGTTCTATCATTATCATTGTAAAATATTAATCAATTCTGTTTAAGACAAACTACAATATTCAAATAATCCTTCTTATTTCTTATGATTTGTGGAAGGAACATATTTAGACTTGCTCGTTGTCTATTTCAAGATGCTCGATGGGCTTTAGAAAAGCTTGGTAGTCTGATAAAATCAATCCTTTCTCGCATCGACATTTATGGTCTACTTGAATATTCATTAACAAATCATATTTCATAAAAATACATTACATCATATTTGCTGAAATTATGCTTATAAATACATGTAGTTGTTAAAAGAATGCTCAATCAATGCTCAAAAAGAATCAGTTCGATATAGATATCGACAAGATGGTTCCGGAACCAATATTTTGTTGTTGACCGGAACCGATATAAAAGCAACTCATCGCTTTCATATCGATAGGTAATAATTGTCATATAGTGAATTAAATTTCTCTTACTCGTCTGTTTTTAGCATCAAAACGTCCTGTTGTTAAACATTCGGCGAGCTCGTCTTTGTCTGATACTATTATATGTCTATGTGAAAATTAAATAAAAAAACAATCGATTAATTAATTCTGATTATTTTTCTTACTTTAATTCTGTGTCTTTTTTGGATCGAGATTTTAATGTTGCATTGAATTCTTCTACAACTAGATCATTTTCTATAGGTTTTTTTTCTATATCAATTTTAGGAATGGAAGGAACACCTAATTTTGAACTACTTATGACATAAGTTTCATTGTTTCGATTTCGATTAGTTCGATTTACTGGTACTTTCAAACTAATATTCGATGTTGCATTATTCGTTGTACTTGTCATTGTATTATCATAAACATTTGCACGTTCAAGTACATTAATAAGTGTACCTCGTGGTCCATTACCCCATTGTGATCGATTCGGTGTATTTATATTGTCTATATTCATTGCTTGTCCTTGAATACTTAAGTCAGGTAAACAGGAATCATTCATTACGGGCTGATGATTTAAAATTGCCGAATCTAGATGTGGTTGTTGATTCCATTGTGAACGAGATTTAGGCGGTCCACCATATTGTTCCCAAGCTTCTCGAACAACTTTTGCATTAAGATTTTGTAAGATAGCTTTCTTCTTCTCTTGCTCCGAACTAAAAATAAACACTTTTTGTCTTTCAAACGAAATAGTTTAGAAAATTATCTAAACTAACCTAGGTGGTCGAACACCAATATCATTTAATAATTCAGTCAAATTATGATTAACTGGCTCAATCTTTTTCAAAGCTTCTTGAGCTTGTTTCTATTAGAAGAAGAAAAGAAAGTGATACGTTTACTTGTTTTTTGTAAATCATTACTTCTTTTTCTTTTTGAGCTATAACAATTTGTTGATCGTAAGCTGAACGATATTTTTCATCCACTTGATTACTGCTAGTTGGCTGAATAAACAAGAAAAATGAAAAAATAAATTAAACTCAATAAATCATAATTACTTTATTTATAGGTGGCTTTTTGTATTCAGTTGGTGGTTTACCGATTACTTCTCGTTTGTCTGAAAGATTTTTTCGACGAACTTCTTCAAGATTTCGATTAAATTCAGCAGCTATACGACCAACAACACCAACATTCGGATTCACAGCAGCAGCAGCTCCCTAAAGTCAATTATCGTTGAAGCTAGTAAACAAAATGGAGAATATCTTACAGCCCCATAACCTTGTCCACGAGCTTTGTTCAATTGAGCTTGACGTCGATTTTCTAGATAATCATTTCTCAGTGCTGCTGGTCGGCCAAGATTTGCACTAAAACAATTACGAATTTCATTTTTATTCATTGCCTCTTAAGATTTATAGATTCATCCTAAAGGTTGTGTTCTTCAATGAAGCATTGATTTTGTTGAAAAAAGAGATAATTATTAGGATTATGTTATGCATCGGATCATTTATAGTGAGAAAAAAATATTCATTCAATATCATGGTCAACATGTACTGCATTTATATATGAAGAACTAAATTAATTCTTTTAAATACTAAATGATTAGGTATCAGAATAATTTATTATCAATATAATCAAAAAAAGTACTAGGGATATTTTCAATAGTTATAAAGTTTCATAATAAATTTAACTCTGTAAACTATAATAAATTCGAAAGAAAATGTAATGCATAGGAGAAAAAAACTACCATGAGACAAAGCTATAATTTTCATAACATATTTACCCTGGTGTCGGCCGTAAATTATGATTACCAACAACTGGTTTTTGATATACTTGAACGTGAGGATTAGGTTTTTGAGCTTGATTAACTAAAATGTAAGATGTTCAAAATAGATGTCTAATAACTACAGAGTGCCGTTTCAAAAGTCATGATCATATGTTAAACATGTATGATTCTATAAATTAATCAAGCTTAATCGAATACTTTTTTCTGTTTCATGTTCCATTTTATTGTAACATTCGTAAATGCTTACAAGAAGCATAATGATAAACCAAAAGATAGCAACGAAAGAAAAGAAGGAGACAAATCATGCAATGAAGAAACATTAAGTATGATACCGACTCCCAAAAAAAGGAAAGAATAGAAGAGAGGAACAAAAAGTTGAACCTCTATTCGAAACTACTAGTTAGGCTAAAAGTAATCGCTTTCTTCTAGCCTAACATATAAATATCAAATCTTGATTTTTTAGTTTGGCAGTCAGTTTTTTATTTTTATAGATACAATACATACATGTTCTTTAACGATAAACATAATCAGCTGTCAATATGAAAGTTTTGCATATACTCAATATCATAAAACAATACATCATTTTTCTTTCGTCCATATTTACTTGAAATTATATGGTTATAATAGATTTTAAATCATTCACAAGTCTCACGACTATTTGAATAGTATTCATGAAATAGTTTTTGAAAAAAATCAACTAGCTGATAATTTTTTTTCGAAAAAAACTTATTCTTGTCACTGCAAAAGCTTTAATAAACGATAAATTGAAAGTATGAGACCATTAGAAGACTCTGAATATCATTAGATTTGGTAATATTGAATTCCTTCTGTATGAATACATCAAAACAAATGCTAATAAAGCATTTGTGAGACATACTCATGATTTAAGACCTATTATAATCACATAAATTGAATTAAATATACAAAAAAATAAAAATAAAATGCTATTTATCATTTTATGACAACGAAACAGTGCAAAATATTTATTTTTATAGCCTGAAATGAGTCTTTCATGAGTATATATGAATTTTATCTTTAAGAATAAAAATTTACGACTGTCTTCTCTCAGAAAAATAAAGTATTGATCTAAGCTTGATTAATACTGAAGTTATATGTATTCAAAATATGATCATGATTTTTAGGACGTTTTACATATTTATACTTTTATTCCATTCATCCATATTTCGTTCGCCATCAGCCATTTTCTGTTTATGCTGATCTAATAGTTCATGATATTGATCATAATTACCTGCTTTTGCTGCACTAGGAGTTGGTGATGCCGCAGCCTTTATTTTATTTAAAAGAAAAGTAAAAAAAAAAAATTATATTAGATGAATTAACATACTGGTTCTCTAGCTGATGAAGGAGTAGATACTCGATTTATTTTCGCTTGTGGAACTACTGGGGGTGTAACACGTTGATTATTCATGTCCGGTAAATCCTATAAGAAAAAAACAATTGATAAACATATACTGACAATAATACTCTTACCGGACTACTATAACTTAATAGTAAACGATTATGTCCTCTATCACGATTCATATTTACTTGTCTGTCTTTTTCCATTAGTTCTTGTTGTTTTTTCGCTAAATTCTCTGCCTGAAATATACAAACATAAGTTTATGATTGTATATATTTTTTTGTTTCTTTAAACAAACTTCTTCTTTAGTTTGTTTCTCTCGTGCTTCTTTTTGTTTGGCAAGTTCTTTACGGCGTTTTTCTATCTCATTTTCTTTATCAACCGCTATGATTGGTTTTCGATTAGCTTCACTCAATTTTTTCTCTTGTGATCCTCTGAAAAATAAAATCCATAGCTTTGAAATCATCAATTATCATTGTTAACAAACCGATTAGCAGCAGCAGGAGCTGCGGAAACTGGACGCTTTATAGGAGATACACCTCCATATGCCTTCACCGGTTCATAAGGTGATACTTTTGACGCCGCCGAACTCGGACGAGCAGAAATTGGTGGATGAGGAGGAGAGATAACATTAGGTTTTGGAACTACCAATGGACGAGGTATTGGTGGTGGAGTAGGATGCACAAGATCAACTGATAATCTTTGACCATGTAAAACAGTATGATTAAATTCAGCTTGATGCACCTATATATTATGAAAGATCAAAAAACAAAGAATCATCGATAACAGAACTATACTTCTTCTGCTAAGTGTTTTGGAATACGTCGACTGATGAATGGTTTTCGTAAAATTGTATTAACTGATGGACGTTCACTATACAATAATAGATATAGAAATTTATGTTCAATGTGGCTCAATTAAATTTTTCTCCTTTGTTTTTCATGCTTAAGACTACGGAAGCTTGTTTTCTTTCTATAATAGATATAGTAGCAAGAAAGTACAGACTTCAATGGATTACTTAATATATTAACAATCAATAACAAATTAAGTGCAGAGAACCAAAAAAATACATTAGCAAAAAAAAGATGGTATAATTATTTTTTTCTACAATGTAGATTAAGAGTAGTACGTCGAGGATTTTGTCCCTCCTTTATTAGTGTACATATGAAGAAATATTATCGAAATATTGATTCAGATACAACTTTTAAATATTGAGACAATAGTCGAAACTATATTTACAAATAAAAATAGATAAATGCTTGGTATACTCTTCTTGTATCTTATAGTAAAATATCATGCCATCTTTTTTCTAATAATTAGTTTTTTCTCTGAATTTTCGGAAGGTACGGGGTCACGTCGTTGTAAATTTGGACGCAGACACGACCCCGTCAGATCTAGTCTTTAATTCTTCTTCATCAATATATGACATTCTACGTTTGCATAAATAAGTAAAAGATCAAGCTTTTAGCTATTTATAGACTACTCTCAATAAAAAAACAAAGTTAATATACAGTTATTTTTTGTTGATCGTTTTCCCATCATCTAATGTTTAAGAAATCAAAACTTTTCACTTAATTGAAAATCATAAACAAAATTTATCTCTTTAAAAGTAATACGAAGTATGCACTTGAAAAAAACATATAAGCAAAAGACTTTTTCGCCAAAACAAATGTGTGAACAGCACAAGAACTAAAGTAAATTTTAGCGAACCTTTTCGATTTGACGAGGTTCGATTGTTTATTTTTAACGATGATTCATTGTGGTATAACTGTGAATCTTTTCTTCACTAACTAACACTCACACACCGTATCTATGTTGGTGGTTAAAAGTTAGAAAAAATAGTTTGAATTTCTCAATTTCACAGTTCATTTTGTCTATTTGATATTTCTCTATTTCCGAAATCTGATTAAATGGTATTTTTCTAATTAGTTAAAAATAAAGATTTGACTACTTTGCAATGATACCGTGAACTTTTTTACTATATATCAATTATCGAAAAACAAACAAACTACAATAGTCTTAAGCAAGACAAATATTCGATTGAGGGACACTATAAATTATAATTTATCATTATACCGTGGTTCTCGTTTAAGCATAGATGCTATTAACGTTCGTAAATCGCCACTAAATTTTGCTGGAATAGGATTAAATGAACCACTAGAAATGAAAGAAATATAATATTTTTTGTTTTTCTTTACAAAATATTAACTATTACCGAACAATTCTCATAATAAGACCATTCATATTATTGGCATCAAACTATAAAGACAAAATAATTTAGAATAATTATATATTGTAATTTCTTACAGCATGTTTGAGAGTAGTTAATTCATATAAAACACAACCAAGACTCCAAACATCTGATTTATTATTATATGGTTTCTGTTGACATATTTCAGGTGATAAATAATATGGTGTACCTATTTGTGTACGTGCTAATTCACATGTACTATGAAGACAAATATAAATTTCATAATACAAAAGAAAAACTCTTTCAAATTCTTACGAATTTAAAATTTTTGAAATTCCAAAATCACCTAATTTAGCTGAACCATCACGTGTTAGAAAAACATTCTAAAATAAAAAATTAACAAATCAAAAAAAAATAAAGATTTTCATATAACATCGTTTTTCTTTCATCATTTACTTGTGATTTAATATCACGATGAAGAACTTTTCTATCATGAACATGTTTAAGTGCTAGAGTTATTTGTACAAACCAATCAAGTATTTGATCTTCATTAAATAAAATGCCACGTTGAGCTTGTATACGTGAATGTAAATCACCACCATCACAATAATCCATTACGATAAATAAACTTGCTGCATCTTAATTGAAAAATATTTTCTTGTTGTCTATCAATAAAAAAAAAAAGAAGAATTATTAATTAAATACCTTCAAATGATTCAACATATGAAACAATATATGGATGTTTCATTTCACTGAGAACTTTAACCTAAGAAGAAAACAAAAAAACAAATCATCATCAATTAAAATTTAGAAAATAGATGAATTTGTTTTGTTTTTATTAATTCAACGACATACTTCTTTTCGTGCATCATCACATTCTTTTTTGCCCATCTATTTGAGAGAAAAAAAAATTGAAATTAAAAAATTATTAATAATAAACGAAAAAATTCACTTTAGCAATTTTTATTTCTTTCATAACGTATTTTGTTTCGTCTGCTTTCGATTGAACAAGCCATGCTTGACCAAAAGCTCCAGAACCGATTAATTTTAATTTATTGTATTTCTCCATTTATTCAAGTATTTCGTCAAATTAAACTAAATATACAAGATTATTGACGTCAATATAAAATAATCATGAATCATCTGGATTTTCAACCATATTCTAACATTCTACCATCGATACAACCTCTAATATATACTGAAAAAGGAATAAATAGTGGCGACCTCAAGAGTTTCATGATAGACCAACCGGTTGGATCGATGGCGTGTCACTCAATCAAACAGTTCTCGGCAATAGGCATTATCATTTACTTTTGATTATAGTATTTTCAATCGCTATTACATACAAAAATGCTTGATATCGAATGGCCATTTGCAACACATATGGTAAAAAATGTCTTAATAATTTAAATTATTTTCAAAATTTTCTATTTAAAGGATTTTCGTGGTCAAAAAATGGCTGAAAGACTCTTTCAAGTTATTATTGTCTTATTTGGCGTATGAATATCTATTCGATTTAGTTTTAGTTGATCTAATGTTTTTGTTTTTGTCATAGATTATTGGTTTTATTGCTGGTTATATGATGCAACAATTTAGTATGACTATTTATAGTGTTCTTTTTGGAGTTTTGATTTCTGCTTTAGTATGTTATTTAAATTATAAAAGAGAATAAATATTTATTTTTTTTTTATAATAGTTAACATTACCACCATGGCCAATGTATCGTAATAATCCAGTTGAATGGCAAAAACCAATAGATTCAAATAAAGAAACAATTACAAATAAAAATGCTGCATCAGCAAAATCACCAAAGAAAGATAATCAAAAATCAAAAGGAAAAAAACAAGAATAGAGAAAGAAAAAAAGAAAAACTTTGAATATTTTTTCGTTATTGTTATTGTGAAAAATAAAAACGGATCGTAGTAGAAAAGAAGAATATATACTATCCGACTTACTTACTAATGAATTCTATAAATGATTTCATGCATACTTTAAACATATATTGGTATTCAATTTTTTGATCTGAAGTTTTGTTTCTGTCAAGGAAGGATCTTCAAGTGATAAATCGCTTTTAAACTAAGACTATGTTCAATCGATAGAACCTTGTGAGTAAGTGGAGTAATTCGAGTTGCTGAGCCTTTATGGATGAGATACCGAATTCTTAATAAATTTTTCGGTAGAGCTCCAGTTTTCAAGCTCTATCATACTTTTGAATTTCGACTTGAAACTTCGCTCATACAAAGACACTTATTAGACTAGTTTTGGATGAAAAGAGGAACGTATGATTTACGCTTAACTACTGGGATTCCATAAGAAAAATCAACTAAAGATTCTATATCTCAAAAATAAAAACCCAGCAACTCGAATTGTTTTTGGATATTTACTTAGAACCTATCGATTGAATATAGTTCCAGTTTAAAGACGATTTTATCACTTGGAAAAACTTTCGTCGTTAGTAGTTTTCATGATCGTAACAATATTCTTAAAGTGTTAATCAAAGCAATTGATTCTTTTTAAAGATGTGCAATGCTAATAACTGTTTAATAATAGACTTTCAAACATTAAATATCTTTGTGTATTCGTTTAGGATTCAAGTGAAAAAAATGAAACAATTTTAGAAACATATCTACTAATCATATGTGTACATGTATGTCTTCAATGGTAGAATAATTCAATGATATGTTTCGATATATAAGAGTGCTAAAAAATTATTTATTATACAACACGAAAAAGAATTTATTATATCTCTACAAAGACTAAACCGTTCGTTCTTACAGTATTCACTGAAGTTTAGAATAGTGTGTGTAATCTACATGTGAAAAATTATAGTTTGATCCATCGTCAACTGAATGTTTAAGATACTGAAGAAAAAAAAAAAGTCATGTATTTTAGTTTGGCTGAAAATTATCCTTGCAGTTCACTTAATAATGAAATTTTACCATTATCACTGTCTTCAATCTATAAATCATTTCTAATAGCAAAAAAAAATGTAATATTTCGTTGAATTTAATAAACAAATGAAATATGAGATTATATTATGATTAATTGCTATAAGCGTCATTGTATATGAGTCATCTTCCATATATCCGAGAAGATAATATGATTATGTGTCATGCAATTCCGCTCTAAAGATTTATGAAATGTTGTAAACTCATTCAATATTGCTTTTTGATAGAAATCAAACGGTTCAAACAGCTGTTTTCATTGAACTTGATGTATCGACATTATTCTATTGAATAGCTTATTCGAAATTTTAGATAGTGAACTGTTTTATCTTTAAATGCGATTCAAGATATTTTCGACAATAGTAAACACTCCATAAACATATTTATTCGAAATTTTTATCGAAACTCAAAACTTTTAAGACACTCTTTAATGAATAAAATTGTTTAATTTTTATTAATAGATCTATTAATTATTTTCCTTTTAAGTAATCACCAATACAATTCTTTTACAAGGATGTCAATCATCAATATGAACTATAATAAACAAAAACATATTTGTATTAATCTTTGAAAATATTTCTTATTTTTATTTCCTTATTGTAACGAATATAAACACCAAAAAAAATGACAAAAGAAAACTTTCATATTAGAAATTAAAAGAAATATGATCAGTAATACATAAATGAAAAATAACTGACTAAATACAATCGTAAAATATAGGTTCTATATAATGAAAAAAATACACACGCATGCAAATAGAATATTTATTTTCTTAACGTTTTCGTGGTGGTCGATTAGTTGCTGATGCTGAATTTGTATTTATACTTCGTTCTTCATCAAAATCATCATCAGTTAATGCAGCCGATGCAAAACGTGGTGTTGTTGCACGAATAATTTCATCAACAGGTGCATTACGATTTTCATATAATAAAATATTTAATGTTTCTTCATAAATTCTTGCTTCAAAAAATTCAACCTAAAATTAAAAATAAGACAAAACAAAAAAACAAAGAAATTTAAATCAATAGTTTTTATTTCTTTCAAACTTTATTTTGTTTTCGTTCAGTTGCATAAACAATAGATGTACAACAAACTTCAGCCATTTTTTGTCCATTACCATAAAAACTCCAACAACATATTTCTTCACTACCAGTTACATCTTTTATAAATAAAATTCTATTATGTAAACGAATACTTAATTTATCAAATAATTCAATATTTTTCATTAACATTTCATCTGATGATCTAATAATGATGATAAAGAAATATAGAAATATTTATCAAAAATATTAACATACGCTGTATATGAATATTTATTATTATGTCGATTAATTGCTAATTTAACAATTGGTTTACGTACTGTAGCTACAATATTTGGTAATTCTTTTGCTGATGTTAACATAATTACTTTACAACAAGCATCTGTATCACCGGCATTTTTTCTTGAACGTGTTCGTAATTGTTGTTCAATAAGATCAACAAGAGATTCTATACAATAAAATTTAGCTTCATGTAATAATTCATTTAATGTTTGAGTACATTCAGGTAAATTAATTGTTCCATCACGTAAATAATTTAATATAACATTAAAATGTTTACCATCACGATCGATTAATACCCAACCTAATTATAAAGACAAAAATAATGTTTCGATTATTTTTTTCTTAAATCAACATTTCTTTCGATATGTTGTCTTGAGAGTGTAATTTGTATAATTCTAATAGTTAAGAAATTATAATGAAAAAAAAAATCACGCATGATTAATTTCAATTCGAGATTAACATTTATTTAAGCAAAATCTATTATAAAATGGTCGAAGTGTTAGATAAATGTTTTTTTACTAATCATACCATAATTTTACGGTCCACTTAAGTCACTACATTTTAAATAGTTTTCAATAATATATAGGTTCAATTTTTTTGGAAGCAGTCAAATCGTACTTTGATACTCTCAATGAAATATTCTAGTTGCTATTGAATAGTCACTCGTAAGATAAGAGATACTTTTTCCCAGTGTTTTTGTTTTAGATCAACTCAATCAGTTTTAGTCTATATTTTTTTTTTGTTAATTTGTCTTGAATATATTAAATACAATTCATGAATTGATTCATACATACCTTCACTGTCTTGCACAACTTCCATACGTCCACTAAACATTGCTTTAAACATAGTATCTTCTTTCGTTAAAGTATCCAAACTTGTTAGAAAAAGATGATTTCCCACATTAAGTTTAACATATTTCCCAAAATGATTATTAGGTCCTGTCATTATCTGTCGATTCGACGTTGATATTGATGGAACGGTGGGTGTAGTTGTATCACTCATCTAAAAACAAATATAATTTATATACCTGTTTTTTTTTCATTTAGATACATCAGATAAACTTTTTAAAATTTTTCAAGCTAGTAGAATCAATAAAGAAATATAGTAATAATGAAAAATATGTTCTCATGTTTATATTTATTGATAGTATAGACTTTTATAGTTTTCACGTAAGATATAGTTTGATTGTAAATGAACCTAATGTCAAAGCAAAATATAAATGTCTATTTAGTTTAAATCAAAATTATCAATATAATTTTAAATGACGAGTTATCTCATTGATTAATTTCGAAGGTGCTAAAAATAAAACAACAAAACAAAACAAATACAATAAATGATTCGTATATATGTATATATTTAATATTACCTGGTCCAATCCCAAGTACTGTTTTACTACCGGGTTCAATTTGCGTACGACCTTGAATAAAATTTTAATTTACAAGCAATTAGCAAAATATAAAATTTTTCTTCATACCTGCATCTCGTATCAGACAAGTTGTTAGACCTTTACGTTTAGCTTGAAGTCGTAAATTTTCTCTAGAATAAATGCATTTGAATAGAAACCTTTTTTTCTTTTTGTCTTAAAATTCTATATTACAAATCATCGGCTGATTCACATTTACAAACAACTTTTGCTTGTCCACCAGAAAACCATGTATCGACAGCATCAGGTACTTGTTCACATGCTTTTTGAAAACAACCAAGTGTTGCATGCGAACACTGTTTTAAGAAACAATTTATTCTTTGTTTTCTAATTGAAAAAATTTTATTTCACTTACTTGTGCTGCAACTTTTCCTATAAG